TATTTTAATATTTCTGTTAGAGCAGTGGAGACATTCTCTCTTGGTATTCTTCTTTTTTAGTTATGACATCTCTCTGTAGTCACATATTTGTAATAGACCATCGTTAATCCATGTAAGATTTTTATCGAATTTGACTTATAATAACTTTCAATTTAATTATTAGGTGTTGGAATTAATTCGTAGCGTTTTACAAGAGATGGCACAAGCAGTACACTATTTCGTTGTTACCTATAGTTCTGTATACATTGTAAACATCTATCATAGGACGTCATTTGCCGTACATAACCTTTCTTGAAATCATAAATAACAATACTGTATAATTCATTGAATATGTCAAAATTTGTGCCAGATAAAGTCTCAATGAAAACTCATGTCAAACACTTAAAGAATTATCTACGTCATTGGAAGTTGACTTCTCAACAATAGGAAAACGTCTTAAAAGTTTGGGCATGATCCAGAAGGAAGGACATTGGGTCCCATATGAATTGAAACCAAGGGATATTGAGAGACGTTTTCTCACGTGCGAACTGCTGCTTCAACGGCAGAAAAGAAAAGGTTTTTTGCATCGGATTGTTACCGGTGACGAAAAGTGGATCCATTATGACAATCCAAAGCGCAGAAAGTCATGGGTTAAGCCCGGCGAACCATCAACATCAGTGGCAAAGCCCAATATCCATGGCTCAAAGCTCCTGCTCTGTATTTGGTGGGATCAGAAGGGTGTCATATACTACGAACTGCTAAAACCGCATGAAACCGTTACTGGAGATCTCTACCGACGGCAACTGATGCGCTTGAGCCGTGCATTGAAGCAAAAACGGTCGGAATACTTCGAAAGACACGATAAAGTCATCTTGCTGCACGACAATGCTCGCCCACACGTTGCAAAACCGGTAAAAACATACCTGGAAACACTTAAATGGGAAGTGCTACCGCACCCGCCGTATTCTCCTGATATTGCACCTAGCGACTACCACTTGTTTCGATCATTAGCTCATAGCTTGTGCGAGCAGAAGTTCACATCTTACGAAGATTGTACAAAATGGTTCGATTCCTGGATTTCATCTAAAGATGAACAGTTCTTCCGACGCGGTATTCATTCACTGCCCGAAAGATGGTCAAAAGTAGTAGAAAGTGATGGGAAGTACTTTCATTAATGTATTTTTTAATGCTCATGTGAAATAAATAACATTCTTTCATTAAAAAAACGCTACGAATTAATTCCAACACCTAATATATTAACTTTCTTTTTACTCGATTATTTTAGCGAAATATTTCTAACATGTACGGTTTTTATTCGGCAAAATACAACAGACGTCTTCAAATATTGATATAGAGGATTTATAAGAAGATTTCAAATATTGATATAGTTTAACAATGATCTGACGACTATGGACTGCTGTCATCATATTCAAATACACTGGAAGAGGACCCAATACTAGGTTAAAATGTTCGTCTGTATTTAATTAAATTATAATATAAGGTATAGTAAAAAGAAATCCATTATTTTTCCAATAGATGGCTTTAGTAATCTGTATCTCGCGTTGTACGAGTATAAGTGCGATCGGGTCTAGATGGCGTTAAGAAAGATAAGATTTCGTACTAAAAAAAGTTCTCAGACAGTTTTGTGATTGCTTGACTCAGTATTGTTTGAGCGCGCGTCAAAGATGGATACCAGCAAAGAGAAAATACGCCATATTTTACAATTTTTCTTCGATAAAGGCGAAAACGCAAGCCAGGCGGCTGAAAATGTGAATAGTGTTTATGGTCCTGATACTGTAACAGCCAATCACGCGCAATTTTGATTTCGTCGATTCCGTTCCGGTAATTTTGATGTCAAAGATGCACCACGCTCTGGAAGGCCAATTGTCGAAAATGTCGATAAAATAATGGAAATCGTCGAGTCCGACCGTCATGTAAGCACTGTTTCGATTGCCCAGGAGCTAAACATTGCACAAAACATCGTTTGGAACCACTTGAATAAGGCTGGATACAAAAAGAAGCTCGATGTATGGGTGCCACACGAGTTAACGCAAAAAAACCTCATGGACCGAATTTCCATCTGCGAATTGCTGCTGAATCGCAACAAAATCAACCCATTTCTGAAGCGGGTGGTGACTGGTGATGAAAAGTGGGTCACTTATGTCAACGTCAAGCGAAAATGGTCGTAGTCGAATCGCGGTGAGCCGGCGCAAACGATGGCCAAGCCAGGATTGACGGTCAGGAAGGTTTTGCTGTGTATTTGGTGGGATTGACAGGGAATCATCTACTATAAGCTGCTCCCCTACGGGCAAACTCTTAATTCGGACCTGTATTGTCAATTCCGTCTGAAGCAATCGCCCAGAAGAGGCCAGCGTTGGCCAATAGGAGAGGAATTGTGTTCCATCAGGACAACGCAAGGCCACACACATCGATAGTGACTCGTCAGAAGCTTCGGGAGCTTGGTTGGGAGGTTCTTATGCATCCACCTTATAGTCCGGACCTGGCTCCAAGTGATTACCACCTGTTCCTGTCTATAGCGAATGATTTTGCTGGTGAAAAATTCATCTCAAGAGAAGCTTGTGAAAATCGACTGTTCCAGTTTTTTGCCAATAGGGACGAGGATTTCTATGAGAGGCATAATGGATTTACCTTCAAAATGGCAACAAGTTATCAAACAAAACGATGCATATTTGACCTAAATCGGATCATTCTAACTATACTATTATAAATAAAGCCTTCAATTTCATGCAAAAATAATGGATATTTTGTTACTACACCTATATATTTACACACAAATAACTTGTGTCGGCTCACATCGGCTTTTCCTTTTCATATTCATATTGTTTTTTCTTCTTTTCTTTTTTCTTATTGATAATCTGTAAAATAAAATTAAATGTTATGATTACAAATGTTCTATATATAGTCCCTTTTATTTTATATAAGTATTACAATTAAAGTCTATTTGGACAAATTATTAATTATTCAGTATTGATTCGAAGATGTTCTTACCTTTCAACTCTCCATAATTCTATTGTAATTCACAAAGTATACCATCGACTTCTGGACAGAGATATCCTTCGAAAAGAACGTATCATCCTTTTTCAAAATTGACAAGTCAGTTATTATTTTTTATGTTTTCAGAAAAACGTGTTTCTCTTCAAAAATTTGCAGACCGATTATTATCTTTTATGTTATTCGGAATGATACATTTCCGCTCAACATTAAAAGATTAAACAAAATCTACTAAGATAAAATAATATAATAATAAAAAACAAAAATAATAAAAAAGAATAAATGCGAAATTATTCATGTAAATAATAACATACCTTGGCCGATGAGACATGCCACACTCACATAAGATAAATTCATATATCACACAATTTTCAATTTATCAATAGATATCGCGCAACATGTACTCCTATTAACTTTACATGCATAGATATGTGCATAATTTCATTGCGTGTACATCATTCTGCTATATCTTCAATTTTGGAGCTAAGATTTCATTCAGACATTAAGAGATTAATGTGATAACGTGAATGTTGTCTAGTGCACGATAAAAATTTCCGTGATTATTACGTATGCACAGTGTTTGCGAATGGATTTGTTTACTTTATACCGTTATTTCCTGTTATATAAAAATGCGCAGTAAAACATGCTGCGTAAAAAATCGAGCGTATGAAGAAATACGGATGTTATAAGTATAGAGGCGTTTGTAATTATTTTTCAAAAATGATACTTTGGAAAATAACTTTATATTTGGTTGAATTCGTATATAATTAAATTAATTCTTAAAACAATCTTTAATTTTATCATTAAAAAAAATCTAAATTTAGAAAAAAAGTTAAGTGGTAGGGATATGTAAATAAATAATTTTCAAAAATATTTTTTATTATAATTATAAAGTACTCTTAAAATCATCTAACTTTTATTTTAAATATTTTTTATCTCTTAGTTTCGATAATATTTGCTTCGAAAGAAAAGATTTTTTTTAAAAAGTATTTCACTCCTTAAAAGTGAGATAGATCACGTATAAAAAAATGTGTGCCATTTATTTGTTTAAAGAACAACGTACTCAAAGCTCATCAAAATCAGAGGAGAACTGTTGGGTCCCTTTCCTTGTAAGTTAAACTAATAATAATTAATTATCACACACTTCGCAGTTTAGTCGGATCCATTTCTTTTCGTCACTTCATCGATAAGGCGCCCAACAGAAGATAACGAGCACGAGATGTAAGGTGCTCGAATTAAAACTTAACTTACTCGGAAATATCTGGAAATGTGCCTCATCGATTTCAATAAGCCTCATCGAATATGCTATAGAACTGTTAAAAAATAATAGAAACATTCAAAGATTATCAAAATCAATGAAAGATACTTCCAAACTTTCCTTCCTAGATCTAAAAAGAGAGAGAAGGAGCCGCTCAAAACTTCTTCGAACGAAATCAAAGGATAGGTGTATTCGCTGATCGATCGACCCAATTTTCATTCGAGACGTTCTAAGATTTCACGCATCTCATAGATGTTAGGTACATAGATGTTAAATAGAATCGAAGGGTCAATCGTTCGTCGCGAGAGCGACGGATGAGAGATCGACGTAGAAAAGATTCAATAATTAAATTACTAGCTTAAAAAGTAAATGACAAAAATGCCCTCCTGTGACATGGCTGTAGAGAAATGTCGTGTCTCCCATCAGAATGCGATAAGATCGTAAATATAGGCTTAGTAAATGCAACATTCAAGACTTGCACTTTGTGGAAAAAGATATCTTAATAGAGATGTGCGAAGTATGGATCGATTTAAATCGAATTAAGATTCAATTCTATTCAGATCTGAGTCTTTATGATTCAAGTTCGACTAAAAAATTTCGAATCTAAGAGGTTCAAATACGAATCACATACACTTATCGATATTCTTATAAAACCATATTTCTTGCTACTAAGTAAAACAGAAAGAAATTTTTTTTATTATCTATATATTAGCAATTAATCTAATAATATGTTGTTAATTAAAAGCCACATTTTAACAATTCCATTTGATTCAGGAGAAGTTTTGTCAACTTGGATCGATTTGAGTCCAAATAAAGAAATAAAATTCGATTCAATGTAAAAATCTTGATTTGCACATCTCTATGTCTTGATCGATTCTATCGAATGACATATCAAACTTTGCTCGCCAAATTAGAGAATTATTTAATAAATTTATAGCTTTTAATAATTTTATAGCTTTTGAAGTAATTTCTTTTCACTTAAGATTGCTGTCTCTTGCTACTTGAAATTTCTTCTCTATACAAGATACAGGAACGAACCTATTTCCAGGCCACAGAATGACATTGGTGCTTCTAAAGTATCGCGATACTTCGTTGCTTTCTATGATTGCTGAATAACCGACATTGCTGTCTCTGTAATTGCTCTTCCGTCTCTACAGATGCTTGATGATGTCGTAGTTTGCTCGGAAGGGGCAGCCGCGATTGTCAGTTGTCTTTGCTCCATGTGATCAAGAGTTTTCTCAATGGCTCGTAGCCGTTTCTCCAAACTAGTAGTGCCCAAAATACCCACCTGCAGCTGCGGTCCCAATGGCAAAATTGCAAGTAGCCACCATGCCCATGATGGACCGTCCGGTAAACGTGACCAATCCTCTTCCACGTCTGGCATACGTCCGAACACTCGTTGAATCTCGGACTTCTGAGAGATCGACACTGTGTCCCACCATCTTCGGCCTTTTGCTCGTACCTGTGAAGTTAAGGAGATAAGTAAATTGTTAAAAAATTGATTGTATTTTTATTGTCGTCATACAAAATATATTTTTTTCCCTCTTTTTAGCCAATTAATATTACAAATAACAATATTAATTTAAAAAAGAAAAAAGAATAAAAAAAAAATAACTAAAACCAAAAATTAGCACAATAAAATTAAGATAACACTGTAATTTTATTATCAAACGAATATACAGAAATGCTAAAGTTGTAAGTTGATATTTTTGTGTTATAATGTAAATAAAAATAATATAATTTTTGTAGAATACTTGAATTGGTCAGAATACTTGATTTAGTTTATTGTATTTTATTATACTGTTCATATAATTTTTACCTTATCATGAAGCTCTAAAAGGTTTAATAATTGATCTTGTTGTACGACGGTATCCCTGAGAAATTCCACTTGTGCTGTATCGTAACCATCCTTTTCTCCACCAGAAAGAACTCTAAATCTTCTACCACCGACCGTGCTGAGAATACTGCAACCATCTTTGAGCAATACTCGATCTCGAATGTCTAAGATAGTTCCATATTCCGCATATCTAAAAGAATGGATTAAAATATTAATATAATACTTTTAGATATATATATAAAAGAAAAGGTATTATTAATTATATCCTTGTAGATAAATAACTTCTCTTATTTCTGCTATTATAGCGAGTTTTAGTGATACTGTGCAACATTTTTAAACTTTTTCATGTTTGACATGTGATAGATGATTCTGATAGGTTTTTTTCCGTAGATTATGAATTGAATTCATAATTGAAAATGCTGCAATTGCGTACTTTTAAAAAAACTATGCTACAAAAAATTCAAACTTAAAAAAGTTAAAAACTACAAAAAAGTTATACTACAAAAATTCAAAAACTATAAAAAATTCAAACTTCAAAACTTTAAACTAGTATTGTTGGACTAATTTGAAAAAGAGTTTGAAAACATTGATATAATGACGCACTGAATAATAAATTTCATGACTGTATATGCAGAAAAGAAGCTGTATTAGTGTATCTATATATATTTGCATAGACACATTCCGTAATATTTTCAGTAATATTTTACTTTTTTAACGATATATAATTTTGTAACCAAATATTGTGTATTTTTAAACACAAGCATTTAAAAATTTATTTTTGTGAGGGCCTCCCTTTTCCTTTTGTTATGCAGTGTAGCCACATTCTTATAAATTTCATAAATTTTATAAATTCCTAAGAAATAAATATATTTCATCATTTTGAATCCATATTGAAGAACATTTTAATAAATGTAATCATTAAGTTAAAAAAGGACTATTACTATCTTCTTCCTTAATATTAATATGTAATCTAATATAATATTAATAATATTAATAATACAATATTAATATGTAATATGATATATGTAAACTTCATGTAATCATGCATTATATATTATAAATGTACGTATAAATTGTAAAACAAAAGTTTAGTTTCTTCTATTCACATTTTATATTAATTAATCGTTATTTTATAAACAATATGTTATTAATAATTAGTGTTTGAGTAACGATCTATTTTGTAACTAATCGATTAATATCACAAATTAAGATTGATTAAAAGAGATAAATAGCTAAAAGTCCAAATATTTAAAAATTACATTTATGCATTTCAATATATTAATTTAAATTGTGATTATATATAAATAAAAAAAAATTTAACTTAAAATTATTGTAAAATAAAATCTGTATTACCTCTTTGTGCCTGTTGCTTCTTTGTTGAGACACGCAGCAATTCCGAACTGGCGCATTCCGCTGTCCACACATCTTCTGACCATCAGCCTATATCTAGGCTCGTAGACAAACAGGGGACAGGCAACGCAGGGAAATGCTGTCGTGCAAATAAAAACGGCAATCTGTTCGTTATCCAAAAGTCCCAGTCCTTGGACTAGTTCGAGCTGATGACTCACAGCTCTGGAAGTATATTCCGCGGGCGCCACTGTTTTAAGCGCTCTCTCTACGAAATCCGTTACAGTTTTTTGGCTACTGGCTAGATACTGAAAGCAAAAAAGGTTAATTAGTTAATAAAATAATTTAAATAATCACGACAAGTAAAATCATACCATTCATGATATCGATTTCAAAAAAGCAAATAAATTTTCTAAAACGAGTATTTTGGATCGGGATTTGTACGCTTAAAAATAATACATATGTGGATGCATAAAAACTATTTAAGATAAAAAAATAAGAAAAGAAAAGAGTTATTATTATATTATTTTATATGATAAGTATCGTTATGTAATAAGGATACTTGCTTTTTTTTTTCAGCATTAGAATACTTAAAATTTTTTTTTTTAAATTATTTTTCGTAAATGTTACAAATTTAAATATTAATAATAATATTGTAATATCCCAAAAAGAAATATGACTTATATAATATTATTAGTTATATCCAATAGCAGAAAGAGAATGTCGCAAGAAGAATATTTCTAAAGAATCAAATGCAATCACCGATATATTACGAAGATAAAATGAAAAAAAAACAAAGAGTAGCGCGCCGTAAGATCATCGTTGACGTCGTCGTCCTCATCGTCATTAAATATAATACAGACAATTGGTAATGACGCCACGAATGCGGAAGCTCGTGACGAACCGTCTTGACGACCGCAAACAATAATCATTTCAATCTGCGGCATCGTCGTTAACCGCTAGAAAGCATCATGTCTCATTTATAAACAGGTGTTGTTACGGAATATGTCGCGTCAATGCATTTCCCTGTCAAGCTCTTTGAGATCAAGAGCTCATGAATAACGAACAAAATTTAAGAATTCTTTAGAGAAAAATGTGGAATGCATTAGTTACATAAATGTAAATGACTGTAATAGCGAAGAAAGAAAAGGCTAATAGCTTTGAATGAAGGCAACACTATTCTGTGCTGTAAATAATCCAAAGTTTTAATAATTTAAAGACAATTCCATTTCATTGAATTATAATAGAATTTATAGAAAAGAAAAAAAACAGCTTTTTCTTTTATAAATGCATTGATTTATTAATTCTATTCAATATTTGATTTTGAAAATAAAATTATTTTAAATTCTTTTAAATCTTAAATTCTTTATATTTTTATTAAAATTAATTCTTTGTTGTTTAAATTGTGCTACAACTTTTCTATAACTACAGAGCTAATTTGAAAAACAGGATTATAAAAATTTAATAATTTATTATATTAATATGTAATTGAATCAAACTTTTGCGTGAAAATAATACTATTCAAAGCATTTCTACAAAATTAACATTTATGTAGAAGTTCTCTTACGTCAGCTAAAGATGTAACACACAAAGGACAAGCTGAAGAGTAATCCAGGCAACGGTCCAGACACATCCAGCAATAGGTGTGACCACAGGGTGTCGTGACGGGTTTCCAAAGCAGGCGGCAACATAAAATGCAATCCAATTCTCCAGCAGTACCGCCGGAAAGAGTTGGCAAGAGAATTTCGGCGGGTCTTGATTCGATTCCTACAAATAGCATCGTCTTAAGATATTTTTACGAATACAAAAGAAGTGTTTGTATCGGTGGGTGACAATACTTACTTTTCAATTTTTCTATATCCTGATATACACGATCTAAATTTGCTTGTAGCTTTGTGTTGACTTGCGATACGATGGAGGATCTAATTCTTCTGTTTATTGTCTGTAAAATGAAAAGAATAAATTGAGTAAGTAAGCCTTGAATAATTGTGTAAAAACTAAACAAATAGTTAAAGACATATCAATAAATAGAATAAAATTTAAAAAATTAAATAAGTAAAAAAATATAATAAAAAAGAACGAATAATAAAAAAGATAATAATAAAACGAATAATAAAAAAGGATATTAGTACAATATTTATTTTAGCTGTTTACTGTTAATAAATAATGATTATGCTGTCAGTGATATTGTATTTTTTATTCTTAATGATACTGTTAACAATAATTATACTCATTCAAGTGTTTAATAATAGCTTATTAAGTACTTTGTGATTGTTTTTTGTATCGAATGATATATAATTTTATTCTAGCTCTTTTTACCAAGTATAAAAAATATCTAACAAGTCACAAAATCAGATATTTTTTTTAAAAAAGCACCTGTATGAATTCTTCTTCGCCACTGCTGTTGTCCTCGCAATCAGACCTGTTCAGAGTAGCGCGTCGACTGCGATTGGAATTCATTAGTTGATGACGATTTCTCGTGCGTAACGCGCTCTTTGTTAAACTATACGGCGTACGTGATGAGAGGACATTTTGCCGATGTACCTTAGGCGATAGCACTCTATGCAGGATCTGTAGCACATATTCACAAACTTGGTATCAATCGAATAAATTTGTATATTAAATGTAAAACGATTAGCAATTATTAGAATAAATTAATTACTTTACAAAGCAGGTTCTTTTAATTATAAATACTGAAATGTTTTACAAGATAGAACCATATATAATGAAATCTTATTGTAAAAAATAAGTTTACTTAATTTATATAATTTTAGTATTACTTTATAATACAATACATTCGACTTAAAATATTAATTATTTATAACTTTTTATATTAGAACTTATATATAGGTAACTTTTGAATTTTTTAAATTCAAATAGACGTAGAGTTTTATAATAAATATGTATAAAATATGTATAAATATGTATAAAAAAATAAGTATATAAAAATATTAATATGCGTTAAAACAATTTAAAAATATCTTTTTTTGCTAAAAAGAAATTTAACAAAGGGTAAAATTTTTTTTGAATTGTTATAAGATATTGTCATTATTATGAATAGAGAATCATTATTTTAACACAAAGAATCAATATTAAGAATTAATAAACTAACATATAAGAATTTCAAATAAAACTTTTGTTAGCAATGAACAAATTCCACTTGTTTCTTTAATAGCGCGTATTTCTTTCTTGAAGTGTCTTATATGAGATGCTTCTAATTGTAAGATTGACGGATATCCAACTGGTCGCTAAATCGACGCAATTAACGCATGAAATAACACAGTTGAGTAATCCCAGACATTTTCGGACGATGAAAGTAAAAGTGCGCCTTCCATAATACGGACCTAACCGACGGATTCAGCGGGAAAGAATGATTCCCTGGTCTCTTACATAAGTGGCGGTGCAGCTTGCATCAATGATTCTGCCATCGGGCACTCGCTTATGTAATCGCCGTACGCTCGAAATTCAACATGCTCCGCTTTTTAAATTATTTAGCGTCAAAATTTGACGTGACCAGTCGTATTGAATTCTTTAATATTCATCGATTGTTACTATACGTAATTGCATTTCAGGCCTCGCAAATATTCGCGTGTGACGCAATATTGCGAAACTTAACGTCGATCGAGCAGCTTCAATGTCAAATATTAATTGAAATACGACATCTCATATTTTATAGCTTGGACATAAGCCTCACAATTGGTATTTCGGTTGTGATCATTTTAACAATATTAAACAATTTCAAGGTAAGATATCGTTCAAATCTTTACGTAAGAAAATCTCCGCAGTTTGCATAACAGAGAGTGCAACAAGATGCCACGTTACATGCATCTCAAGATGAGAAATTGACAGATGAATGAATAAGAGTTTCCTTAAAAGATGTAAGAATAAGAAATTTTACTTAAAAGATTCGACGCAGAAGAAAAGGATTTTACATTATGTATGTATGAGAGGGTAGAGAACGCAGCGACGAGCGCGGGGGCCGTGCGTCACACGGCAGAAGATCGATATATCGACGCTGTCGCGAGCCGCGTGAAACAACACGTGGAAACGGCACATTTGTTCGCGAGAGTAGCGTAGTATCCGTTTCGCTCGCAAATATGGTTATTGTTGCTCTTGGCGTACAGGTCACTCACCTGACGACCATCGTACCAAGTCATTAAGGCTGCGTGGCCGGCAGTAGTCGTGCCGGAAACGCCGTGGCGCGCATTTCTTTTGTGTTAGTGATGCTCTCCGGATAGAGATGGATGCATTTGATTCCCCGCGGCGCATTCCGTCAGTTGCACGATAGCGATTGCTCCACAAGGAATGTGGATACTCTTACTTATGATCAGACTACGGTTTGTCTTATTTTTCCGTTCAAGAACTTGTTCTATGAGTTACAGGAATATTACAAGAACTAGATGAATTTGTGCAACTCGAAGTGAACATAATCAGAAATTTTTCGGTAATAAAAAATTATCGAGTCGATATACACATAAATCTCACTCTCTCGATACACTTCAACTTAATGATTTTTAATTATCGGGAAAACTTCAACTGTTTGCGCGCAATTCTATTTATTAGAGAAGTATCGACGCTGTAGATAGTTAATTAATTTTAAACCTTATAGTTTAAAAGTTATCCAAACTTATGTAATAATTCGTGTTGTACAATTGGAACAAATATATTTCATTAACTTTCAATAAAACAATAATATTTGATAATAGAATGTTTGTTTAGCTTTTACAATAAAAAGCAACGTGGGAATACATACTTTGGTTAATTCATGGCGTACAGCTTGTGGATTTTTATCAATGGCCACGCTAATGCAGAGAGCATAGAGCGCTTCTTCGTGTCTTCCAAGCGCTGACAAAGCTATTCCTCTTCTATAGTGCGCCTAATACAAAACAAAAATATATTATATTAATATTAAATTACAAAAAAATACTATATTTTATATTGAAGATATAAATTTATATTTTATAAGAAAAATATAAATTTTAATTTTAAGTAATTTAATGTGCTATAATTCAATAATAATTTGTATACAATAGTAATGAGATTATAATAAAATTTGTATTGCTATATGCACAAAATGTTATTAATATTAGCGTATATATTGTTACGTACTTTAATAATACATATACACAATTGATAAATTAAGGTTAAGATAAAGATAATGTTTGAATGTTAGATTTTATTTTAATTAGAACATTTTGCCAAATTTGTTAGATTAAAATTGTTAAATAGAAATGTTTGCCTTTCGATTTAAAGAGTAGACGCATCTTGTTGTCCACATGTATAGAGTATATGTATAAGCTTTGGTTTTGTATTTCCTCACCTTGCCCCAGTCTGGTCGCAATCTAACTGCATGATCAGCGTCCGTGAGAGCAGCTAAAGGTCTATTCAACAGGAGCAAGACGTGAGCCCTGTTGCTAAGGTGGAGTGGGCTATTCGGTGCTGAAACATGAGAATACAAGTTTGTAAAATGTCTACCGATTGGTGGACGAGTTCTAATTTGAAAAGTTTAAGATTCTGTAAATCAGAGAGACTCAGTCATAATTTTTTTTCTCTCTTAAAGTGTTTTAAAAACAGTGTGATCAATGCCGGCAAATGCTGTTTCATGACTAATAACTGGTATTATGATTCACGCATTCCACATGGAACAATAAAGATGTAAAGCAGATATTTCACAAATAAACTAATAATTTAAAATTTAATATATTTAATGGCACACAATGGCGTATTTCAATATCTTTTATTTATAAATTTACATATTTATAAATTTACATATTTATAATGCAATATTACATACATGATTTAAACGTATCAAACGAGTATTTGAAAGAGCATTGCATCATTGATTCATACCTTGGTGCATATTTTGCATAAGAATGCACTTATATTGTCGTGCATAAATTCCGAATAGTCTAAGAGATTTTTTTTTACAGTTGACAGTCTGGACTTGTTTAATTTCACAGAAATCTGCCTCGTAAAAAAGCGCCGTGTATTTGCGGCAAAGCACATTTTATAAAATATTAAAAGTAGCTTATCGAGATTTTTTATGTGCTCCATAATAAAATAAATTTTAAAAAAATGCATTTTATGCTTAAATAAACTATCACGTAATTTCAAATTTTTAACATTTTGAAAATAATTATTTAAATAATAATTTTAATTATTTTAAATTAATATAAAATGTAAATTATATTTGTAAAATGTTTTATAATCATCTTAAAAATATTTTGTAAAAGAAAGACAATTTATTTTTATAAGGTTAAAGTTTTATCCAACAAATAACAATTATTAAAGTAATTACTGTACAACGCGATGGCGATTTGTATAATCGCCTTATTTTATGCGTGAACATCTGTCTTTAAAATAAATAAGAAGCAGAATATGTATTAAATACTCATTAATTGTAATGATATGCTTAGATTTAAATTATGATGCTGATTTGCAACATCAGAAAAAACCTCTAATATTTGATATACTGAACAAATACAAAAAGCGATGTATATAAGCCGGCTTATGTTTTAATGTTGCGAAGCTGAAATTTGAAGACCTGATTTGAAGACCTAATTATTGCGCGAATATTGTTGTATAAGTTCTTTTATCTTAAACTTGAAAAATCTTGTTATTGTTGAATTACACGTGTAATTCCTTTAAATTTATTAGTAACATGTTCGCAATTTATTTTGTATTAATTTTTAATACATTATTATTAAAAATTAGCATATAACTTTTTATAATTAAACTTAGATAATTTCCGTTTTAGGAAAATAAAGTATTTTAAAATTTAATTATTATATTTATTTAATTATTAAATAAATTAATAATTTACACATTATCTTTTAGGACAAAATAGAAACAATAAATTTTAGAGAATGTTAAATTTTTATCATAAATTCTTCTAAATTAAAAAAATTAATTTCGTGATCGTATAAAACGTGATCATATAAATTACTTTAATTTGTAGCTCTGCACTATAAAGAAAAAATTGATTGTTGTAACAATTTAGATAGTAAAATATGGCATAGCATTTTTAATCAGCTGCAGCAATCAGTTTGATTTTTAACGATAATGTATTAACAAAATAAATTGCGAACATATTACTAATAAATTTAAAGGAATTACATGTGTAATTCAATAATAACAAGATTTTTCAAGTTTAAGATAAAAGACTTATACAACAATATTCGCGCAATAATTAGGTTTCAAATCGGATCTCCAAATTCAAGCTTCACAACACTAAAAGATAAGTTACATAATCCGGCTTATATATATCGTTCTTTGTATTTGTTCAGTATACCAAATATTAGAGATTTTACTGTCTAAATTGTTGCAGCAACCAATCTTCTCTTTCAGTGTGAAATTATTATTATTGATATATAGTCATATATAATTATATATAGTCATATATAATTATCGAGAAATCAAGTTATATTTCCAATTGCATTAATTATATAAATATTTATGCGTTCAATGGAACGGTATTTCTCGCGTCAATGTTAAGCTATAAGAAATACAACGGGATATTGCTGAACAAGTTCATTCATTAGCGTGATCATTCTTTGAATACATTGTAAAAAATGCTCTTCCTGTCTGTTCGATCGAATGCCAAGGTCCGCCTCGAATGATCGATCGTTTGCTCACTGCAGGCAATCGACCCGATCATTAGAACGCGTGCTTCCTAACGATCTCCCATTTAGACTAATCTAAATCATTACTGCATAAATCCTATAACCTATCGTACGATAAGCATTTATTAAATAAGTTGACTTGCTTCTTTCAAAATGTCATCAGATTGAATCTTGTGTATCCTTTAAGTATCTGAACTTTTGATATTCAAAAACACAACACAAAGAAATCAAATCTGTGCAGATATCGTTATCTATATCTTAAGAAATTAATGAAATTTTAAAGTATTATCGAATTACAATTTACTTAAATTTATTAGTAAAAGTATGGATCCCTTTTTAAATAAAATTCTAAAGTTGACAATAATAATTATGTAATCATTTTTATATAATTCAGATTATAATTCAGACTTATCAAACACAATTTCTCAGCATATCTTAAATCGCAAAATGAAAATTCAAAAATATCTATACTATTTAGATCTAACTTTTTAAATTTGACATTTACTATAAAAACAGAAATTAATCAAATTTGCAATTATAAAACCGAGGCTATCAAACTATTATTCTGAATCTAAAAGATTAAACAGTTTTGTTGTATTCATGAGATTTCTAAATTATACGATGATGCACTGACGCACACAGAAAGGTTCGATGCCGCGTGCTCAACCAGGCGCGACAGACGGCTGCTGACCTTCGTTGGAAAGAAGACGAACAGTTTGGAACGAAAGAAAAAGAGAGAAGAGAGAGAGAAGAGTGGGACTGTCAATGCCGAGTTCGAGAACCGAGTTAACGGAGCGTCATACGGAGAATATACTCTTCTAAAGTGCTCACGTGAAAATCGGAGCAATAGCTGTTGCTGCACATGCTGTCGAGCTTGTGCATTCTCAGCATTCTCGAGAATTGGAATCATGACAGATAGCGTGTCAAGGGAATAAGAATGTAAGAGTTGTTTAGTCTTCACGGATTGTGAGTGTGATAAATTAGTGAATTTCTTATTAAAGGAACTTCAGTATGTGAAAATTTGACAGGAAATCATGAGTTTCTCTCTCTCTGTCTCTCTCTTTTTGTGATCATTCCACTTTTACAGATTATTATATAAAGTGCGATTTAATTCGTCTTTAAAGTAAAGTGCATATAAAATGAATCAAATATATCAAATATACGTTGAAAAAATGAATACTAATTTAATTAATGAATATGAATTTATTGACCTACATAATACTTTATATTTTATATAAGAATAATGAAACTGAATAAAATTCTCCTAAATTTCTATAATTCATATCTTTATGAGTTTGAAAGCATACACAACTATTTTGTAATTTATAAAAACAGTTATTTATACTCTCTCTGATAAAAAATTCTGTTTTTCCTTTACATAATTAAAAAAAAAGTTTTTTATTTTCAAAATATTGTCGACATATTTCCTACTTTTTCAGATAATAAATTTGCTTAAAAAAACAATTATTTATAATCTATTAAATCGTATGTATGGTAGCCTAATTTATGAATGTGGAGATATTGCGACGATCTTCCTCCGAGTTGCATGCGGAGCGCAATGTAACTGCATCCGGCCGGCCGCTGGCCAACCACGAAGGGAGAAGCGAAAGGCGGGAAGGGAAAGAATACAGCATAAACGGTCGCATCGCGAACGCGTCGCGCGGACTGAGCCGCGTTGGTGCAGCTGCAACGGTCGACGTATCGTCGTTGCAGCGGAGACGTCACCCATGCCGACGCGGCACGGCGCGCAAACAGCCGCGCGTTACGTAAAGGTCGGTCACCCGGCTCGGCGGTGCGTACTCTATCGTGCCGCCGCCGGCACCGCCACCGCGCGTGGTCGCCACCGCCGTTGTTGCTGGCATCGCATCGCTGATGCTGCTTGCCACGTGCAATTATCGTCTCCGTTTACGGGGTTTACGGAGACGGGAAGGGGATTCTCTCGATTTAGCAGGATGTCACAAAATAATCATGGCAATAATGAAATTTAAGTGTCTCGTGAATTATTATCATTGTCGGAAATGAGAGAATTCTCAATTAAATGAAAGAATAATTATAGCTATTAAAATAATAATAAGATTTTAATCATTACTTGTACTACGGAAATATTTTTATTTATGAAAATTATTTATTTAGGAAAATTAATCTTTATTTCCTCTCTCTTATAACAATTGCTACAATTGCTGTAAAATATTTTTTTATAATTATAGAAATAAAATTTATTTGCTAAAAAGAATTAGCATCTTTTTGCATGGAATTAAAAAAGTTGTTACTTTTTATTAATACATCATAGAACTAGATGTTTTTATTGAATTATAATATAATTATATTTCAGCATATAGATATCTGCTTTATAAAATTATCATAAAATTACTTGTAAAAATATAAATATTTAATATATGAGAAAACTGTTGATATAATGCAAAATTATAGAATATATTTATATTTATATGTATATTTGGATAGAACTTTAATCATATATTTTGCATTGCATTGATCTCCGATGAAGAATACAATAACATTGTTTTAATATTATAATTTAAAAAAAAAGAATTTTGATACACTTTTTATATATCAATAGTTCAATTATTGTATCATACAAAAGAGAAAAAAAGATATTTAGATATAAATCGTATAGTGTGCAAAGTATGACAATATATTGCGTTATAAAAGTTATTATTTTATAAAATTCTAAAAAAGTCTCTGTTAAAATAACAAAATATTTGTAAAAATGGTAAAAAATCTTATTATTTTTATATAAAAATAAAATCTTTAAAATATATGTATTAAAAATTGTGTTTTATGTGAGTTAATAAATTA